TTTCGGCGTTGTGCCATCTTCAGTGTAATTTTTCGTTCTGAATAGTTTCTGTTTGTCTGTCACTATTTATAGCCGTGTTAAATCGTCGTTGGTTCATAGTTAGGTACGTCTCAGCGGATTATATTCTTTCGGCCAACCAGTAGTTTCAGTTCTGTGTGTACATCCTCAGGTAGAAATTAGCTGCTCACCTCTTTTTTGATTAATTGTTGCATGGATTCGCAGGTAGGTAAAAATCAGTTATTTTCTTTCTCTTTGTTTCTGTAGTTTGGACCTGCATTTCATTTTTTATGGTAGTTGCAGGGTTTCTATTTTGTTTTGCGTATAGTAGCCTGAGTGGTTCGAATAATATATCAGATACGGTGTTAATTTGCTCATTTATTATTTTTTGTTTGTATATCTCCATATTCTCTAATACGTTTAGGCGTTGTCCTTTGTGCTGTACATGGAGAACTTTGGCTGTCTTTCCTATTTTCATTGGCGTACAATGGTTTTCTGCCATATGGTTTGCGAAGTTCGATTCCGGGGTGGTAGAAGGTTTTAGATTTTTTTTGTTGTAGTCCCTTATATGTTCACGATATCTTGTTTTTATCTTGCGCCCTGTTTGTCCTATGTAACTATGTTGACATTCGCAAGTCAACTTATATACACCTTGCTTGTTTAGTGGGTCTTCCTCGTTTGCACTATTTCGTAGTATCCTCCCCACATTGTCCTTCGTTCTAAATGCTGTATTAATGTTATACTTTTGGAATACCTTAGCCAATTTATATGAAGTTTTGCCCGTATAAGTCAAGACTGCCCAAATCTTTTCATTATTTTCCTTCTTATTTGATTTCTTCGTTTTTGTTTCTCTTCTTATCTTGTTTACTAGGCGCTTTCTGTATCCGTTATTTTCCGCGATTGCGTATATCGTATTAAGTTCTTTGCTGTTAGCTTCTTTTTCCAATTGGGTTCGTTCAAGCCTGGTAATTAGATGTCTAAAGGCTGCATTTTTGTGCTGTTGAGGGTGGTTTGAAGCATTGTGGGTCTGTGGCCGTGGGCTTTCTATATATCCCGAATTCGCATTTGTTGGTATCCTCATTTATTTTAATAGTTTATTTTGCCTTCGTTTTCTTTATTCATAGTGAAATTTATATTCGTGTGTTGGTCGTTGAGATAGCCTAGAATTTGTTCCTTATTGTCTCCCGTTACAAGACATATGATGTCATCGACGTAGAACTTTACTCCCAGGCTTGTTGTCAGCTCCGTCATATACACATGAACACTTCCATTAAAATTGCAGATGTGGGATTACCCATCCCTAGCCCGTTCGTTTGTCTATATATTTTGTTATTAAACTTGAAGTAGTTTTGGTCTAGTGTTACCCTCAATGTGTTCACGATTTCCGTTGCTACGTTCTTGTCTGTTTTTTCTGTCAAAGCTTTAGTCAAGATGGTAACTGTTTCTGCCGTTGGTATCGATGGGTAAAGATCCTTAACATCAAATGATACAAATTTCGCATCTTTGGGTATTTCTAGCGATTTCATCCTGTGTGGCAATTTGAAAAAAGTCAATTTGAAAAAAAAAATTTTTTTTTGTTCATAAACAATAATTAATTATTAATAAACAATTACTGATGTTTAGTTCACTAGATCGTTTCAGTAGATCAATATCTGCAATTAAAAAAAAATCGTTAGAATCCTTGCTTTTTTGCGGCAGTTATAAACGATTTCATCAAAAGTTGCTATTAAGAGAGGAAAAAAGAAGCGTTCGTACTCAAAAAGAAAAAAATCATTATTCGAAAAATTCGCATTTCTGAGCAAAAAGAAAAAATACGTGTCTCCTTAAATTGTTCAAGGAACAATCCCTGTGAGTTTTATCGCAATCTTAAATTCACTTTCCGCCGGCCTGGGTGATTTGAGATGGAATGAGCCATATGCTTTCCTTGGATTTATTATTGTTTTTGCCGGTTCATTGCGTGCTTTACTGCCACTTGGTAGTCATCGGTTGGGTCCTTTCTCATCATCCTACAAACTACAGAAACAAAGAGAAAGAAAATAACTGATTTTTACCTACCTGCGAATCCACGATCCAGAAAATAAAGGTCGCGCCATTCGCGGACCGCTAACCCTCTCATCGTCGATTTGACAGCATCCACCCAATCGCTGACGTCATAAAATACTTTTGTTTACATTCACTGTTGCCAACTTAATGCTTTTCGCACCAAATTTAGTGGGTATTCAAAACCCGAACATTTTTGAGTTTGGTGCTTGGTGCGTTTTTGGTGCTTTTGTTTTTAGTTTGAAGACACCAAATTATAAAATCTTAAAAAAATGGAAGCAAAATTTATAGCAATCGTAAGCGTGGTAAGCAACTTCACAAAAATTTTAATAAAATCATGGTACAATCATAAGCGACAACAAAATATGTGGCAGCACCTTCAATCAAGCCAGAAGAAATCGACCGTCGTGCAAGAAACATTGATTTTTATTAATTTGAATCGGCATCCTTACAATATAATTATGTATGCATATAAAGTCCATAAAATACACCAATAAATATTTGGTGCTTTTTCAAATTGAAAACTTGGCAATACTGCCTTTTGTTCGATGCTTCCTCTTTTTCTTGTCGAGTTCGTCTTGCTCTCTCATTCTTGTATTTATTGACGTCACGGCCAGTTACTCTCAGCTCGATTGGCGCAATCTTGTATTCTATCATTCTTGCTGCGAATCCATGCAACAATTAATCAAAAAAGAGGTGAGCAGCTAATTTCTACCTGACGATGTACACACAGAACTCAAACTACTGGTTGAACGAAATAATATAATCCTGAGACGTACCAAACTATGAACCAACGACGATTTAACACGGCTATAAATAGTGAAACTATTCAGAACGAAAAATGTGTAATTGTAAGAACTTCATTTCAACAAATAAGAAAGTCTAAGTTCGGGCGGAGCCGAACATTAAATACCGCTACATGGTAAGCTGGGGCGTATCAATTTTGAGTAAATTAGAGTCCTTAAATTTCGAAATTTTGAAGTTTAAAGCAGTTCAGAAATTTTCCGTTATATGAAAAGCGGCCTCAATTTTAGTCCGATTTCAATAATTTTCAACCTTTTGCTTTTATGTGGCAAGCACAATAACCATACCGAGTTTGGTACAAATTGGTAGAACGGTTACCGAGATACATATGTGATCATAAGTGGGCGGTGTCACGCCCATTTTCCAAAATTTTATCATAAACGGATTTCTTGGTTAAGAATTGTTGCAAGCATTAATTTTGAATAAATTAGCTTTAATATTTACTGATTTATCGAAGATTTTGTATTTCTCTAAATTACCGTTATATGGGATGTGGGCGTGGTTATTGTCCGATTTTAAAAATTTTCGGCCATTTGGTATGTTGTGCGAAGGCCTGTGCGAAGGTCTGTGCCAAGTTTGGAAGAAATTGGTGCAGTGGTTACCAAGATATACACATGTAACCATAAGTGGGCGTGGCTACGCCCATTTTCCAAAAATTTACAATATTCTTATTTTTCGTCTAAAACTTATTGTAAATATCAATTTTGAGTAAATAATCTACAGTAGTTACTACAATATCGCAGTTTTCGTATTTTTGAAAATTACCGTTATATGGGAAGTGGGCGGGGATACTCTCTGATTTCGCCCATTTTCAATACCAACCTACCTTGGATAAATGGAAACCTACATACCAAATTTCGTTGAGATATCTCAATTTTTGCTCGAGTTATCGTGTACACGGACGGACGGACAGACGGACGGACAGACAGACATGGCTTAATCGACTTCTCTATTCATTCTGAGCATTTATGTATCACTTTGTCTATATCTATCTCGATTCGTTTTGGCTGTTACAATCAACCTTTATGTGAACAAAATTAATATACCCTTGTGCACAATTGCGCTCGGGTATAAAAATTTTCCTTTCGCCGACGCAAAACCGATCACCGTAATGTGCCTAATGATTATGATATTGTGGCAATCAAATTACACTGTGATAGTTTTTTTTTTCAAATATTTTCAAAGACATGGCCGCGGAAGACGGTTTCACCCTATTTAGTGTATGGGGGATCGAACTGCATCATTAGTTTTTTAAGTTTTCTGCACGCCTTTATACAACTTTTTGTTTTGAAAATCTTGCCTCCAATGGAAATTTTTCAGTTGTTATACCCTATTTTATGGCTTCTAACTTTTATCTGGTTTGCTTTTTTGGCAAAATTTCTTTGACAAATTTGTTTCGAACGTCTCAGGCCTTCACTTTTGTGAACATACCAAACTCCAGAAAGTAGGTCTTGGACACTTTTAGGTGGAAAATCCGAAAGCAGCTTTATACTAATTACACAGGAGAACACACAAACAAAAAGTTTTATGAACCAGAGGGTAGACCCCACTATTTCTAGAGTTTTGGGGTTGCTGAAAACGAATATGACCAAAAATTAGCTTCAACTGACCGTTTTTCCCGCTACCGCCCTCTTACAACCAAGATGGGTGTGTATTCTTACCTTCCTTGGGCCGTTGAAACCGAAAATGACTGTAAAAAATAAAGTTGTAAGGTTGAAAATGGTTTATTTGTAAGCAAATATAATGACTAAATAAAAAAAAAAAATAAGTGGATATGTGATTAATTAAAGATAGTACTACGTTTACTTGTGAAGCTTCCACAGAATACAACGACGAACTTTATTAACACTTTCAATCCTTCTGCCCAATCTTCATTATTGATACAATTTCTTACCAATTCGACTATTGGAATCATGTTTTGTTTTCTGCTTTTTAATGTGTGAAAGATTATGGGCCGTTTTCACAGTCGTTAGTTAGTCTTTAGTTAACTTTAACCAATAGCTATTGGTAAACGATTGGTTAACTAAAATTTTATTTCTCGATACTTCATTTAACTAATGGTGTAATATATTTAAAAGTATGGCAACACTAATGAAAACATATGATTTTAGTCTGCACATATTTGTGTAAATAATTGTTTTCAAAATAAAAGCGCGACGATGGCAAAGAGAAGTAATAATTTTTCGGCGGCAGAAATTGAATCATTGCTTGAAATTGTGGAAAAGCACAAAAAAATCATAGAATGCAAAAAAAGTGATGCAGTGACCACATTAATGAAGAACAAAGAGTGGAAAACAATAAGCGAGGAATTCAACAGTGGCAGCAGCGCATCCTTTCGCGATGAAAAAGTTCTTAAAACGAAATACTATAATTTAAAGAAAGAAATGCGGAAAAAGGCAGCATTCAACAAACGCAGCCTATGTGGAACTGGTGGTGGCCCTCTAAAGGAAATCAGTGTTACAAATGTGGATATGAAGTTGCGTGAGATAATGGGTGCACAGCAAATCAAGGGGATGGAAGCTAGTTATGATTGTGACCAGGACAGCTCGGAACAAAGACCAGCATTGACATATAATGGTTAGTTCATACTGCAAAGAAATAAAATTATTACGTTTTTAACTTCAACGGTTGCAATTTCCCTTCCAGATGAAGTAATGATCATCGAAAAACTTGAAAGTCCAGAGACGGTTCTTGGGGATGACGACGGCGTACAAATACAAAAGGTTTTTGGTGACGATAGTGAACAAGTACAAAGCGCTGATGATTACCAACCCATTAGTTTGCGATCCACTAAAAATAAAAAGCTCAGAGTACTGCAGAATCCGGCTCACAATAATATATCGTGGTCGAAATTAGCAACAATAAAAGCGAATTGGAGCGAAAAGAAGAGCCGTGTTGAAATAGATCTACTGCAAGAGGAACATGAAAAAAAGATGATGATGTTGCAGCGGCAAATAGAACAAAACGAAATCGAGCATGAAATGCGCATGGCAATTCTAAGGAAACGAAACAAAGAGATGGATTTGAAAATAAATAAATTTGAGGAAAAGTCACGAAAATAACAAATTTGAATCGTCGGCTGAAAAGTTCTGTTTCAACTATAAGAATCAATCGAAGTTCCTTTTTTCCTAATAGTGATTATATGCTTGGATTTATTTTTGTATATATATTTAGGGTATTCACAAGATGTCATTAGCGTCGTAATTTCTTAAAGTCGTAAAATTTGTCAATGTAAAATAATAGTTAAATTGTTTTAAGGAATTTCTATGGTAAAATGAAGGTACTAATATATTTTATTTCAGTTTAAAAACATTTTGGCATAGTTACAAAGCCTCAACCGCTATTTTACATAGAACAATTTTACGACTTTAAAAAATAACTTCGCTTATGACATTAATTGGATATGATATGAATTAAGGTGCCTTTTTTGTTTTTTACGGTAATCCAAATACTATAAAACATTAAAAACCTGAAGTGTACAAAACAAAATGGAAACAATACATGAAATACGCCTGTTTGAAAATTAAAACTGCTCTTTTGGCTTTTGCTCATGTATGGTACGATGAACTACAACGAATTTTTATTTCAATAGTGTTATTGAGCTTTGTACCACGATTTGTTTGTTAGGAAAAATGGAACGAATACAACGAATTTTATTTATTGGATTGGGAAAAACAATGAATGGTAATTTTAGTAAGTAAATATCTGGTTTTATGTTTGTGATCATAGATTCAATTAATTAATTGTATGACGCTTTCAGTTCAAGACCACACGGATCCAATCTGTGTCACATCTTTTCAATATTACAGAGTTGAAAAATACCCGTTAATAATATCATTTCTAACTGCATTTTTTTCGATGCGGCCGTTGGAGCCTCTGTTGTTTGGAATGTTTAATGCCGCAATGATTTGTTGATCAACTTCTGGAGGCAACGAAGGTGCTTCAGAATCGTGATGTAGTAAGCAGATGTTGTGCAAAATCGCTGTGGCGACAATAATCGGTTGAACCTTTTTACATGCAACCCGAATTCCTAGGGATAGAACTGGAAATCTGCGCTTCCAAACTCCATAGGAACGTTCGACAACGTTTCTTGTTCTTATATGGGATTCATTGTATAAACTTTCAGCTTCGTTAGTGACTGAATGAAGCGGTGTTAAAACACGATCATTATTTTCGTAGCCTTTGTCCGCCAGCACTATTGCATTTTCAAATTCCCCTGATTGCAAACGAACGCCAATTTTGGAATTCCGAAGAATCGTAGAATCATGAGTGGATCCCGGCCATCTAGCTACGACATCCAAAATCTTTAACTTGCTATCGCACATTGTTTGTACATTAAACGAAAAGAAGTTCTTTCTGTTACGAAATAACTCTGCATGATCTCCTCCTGAAAAAATTAAGAGCATGTGGGAGGGTTTAAACAACGTATATATGTATTTAAAAATTACCTGGAGATTGAATCTTCACGTGTGTGCAATCCAACGCACTGATCACACGAGGGAATTTCGAAACCATAAAAAAATCTTTTTGTGTTTTGCGTATTTCTTTTATAGCTACTGGGAACTGAATAAATTGTTTACGCAATCGTGCAATTTCATGTGAAACGAGAGTAATAACTCTCGATACAGTGCTTATAGATACACCGGCCGCATCTGCCATCAGTTGTTGTGTACTTCCTGTTGCATAAAATCTCAATGCAATGGCCAGCATGTGTTCTGGGGACAACGAATTGTTCCTATAAAGCAAAATTTAATAAATTAAAAGCAAATTTTTATCTAAATACATGAAGGACATTACCAGGTTGTCGCATGTTGTATATTGGGTCTAATAAGTTCCAAAACATCTCTTGCGGCTTGCTTGCATAAACGAAAACGTTCTCGAAAGTCTTTTTCATCGTAAAGAGTAAAGAAATTCGGACGACATTGTACTATCTTCTTTCGACGTTGTATCACAATCCTTAGCAACAAGTCATAATCTTCATCACTGTCACTGTTTTCCATGCTCATTTTAAATAAAAAAAGGTATTTCAATTTTTCTTTCTCATTAAAATAACTTTTGCCAAATTCTATTTTTTCCTTTCAAACAAATAGTAAAAACAGCTGTTTTTGACTATTGGTTAACTAATGGATGTACATTAGTTAACTATCAGTCAACCATTAGTCAAATTGATACTGTGAAATGAAAAGTGGTTGGTTAACATTAATCTATTGGTTAACTAAGGACTGTGAAAACGGCCCTATAAGAATAAAATTTTATTCACAACAAAAAGTATTCTATTTAACTATGCAAAACTAATTAATTGACATTCAGCGATCTCAAAAGCCTCAAAATACCGTAAAGTTTACTGATTTCTAAGTTTTTCTTTTCGCCATATTTGATCCGCCATTTCGACTTTTTGAAATCTGACCTCGGATTCCAAATACTTAAGCGAACCCTAAAGCGTTTGCATGCCATGTTTATCAAAACGCCCTGATTTTTTAATTTGAGTATTCGCCATATTGGATACGCCATTTTGAATTTTTAAAATCTGACTTCAAATTCGTAATCTGTGACTTCAAAAACATAAAAGCGCGTCTTAGAGCAAATAGTTTTGTCCACCTAGATTTGGATTTCAGACCTCTGTGGGGCGCTTTGAACCGAATAAAACCATAACGTAGTCATTTTCGTTTTCAGCGGCCCAAAAACATGGAATTACGCATACATTTTAATTTTGTATGAAAATTCAAAATACGAACTCATTAATAATATTTTGAATTAATAATATTTTTGAAATGTTCATAGTAGTGTTTGGCCGAGCTGCTCTTCCGATTTGTGGCGAGCGCCTCTATGTTGTCACACAAAGATGAGGAACCTACAATATTACGTCTACTCCGAG